CTTGTACCATAGTTTGCTCATAGTATTTGCCTCTGACACTCACTCTGCACTGCAGCTCACTGTCATCTACAGTTTTGGCCCAAAAGCACAACTGAGATTTCTGGTTCTTTTGTCCCTACTGCCCAGATGGTGACAGACAGACAGACTCTCAGGTAGGTATCAGATAAATGACTAATAGTTATTGATAATTCAAATGGGGTAGCAGTACTGGTAACAATTTTCTCTCTAACCTAGTCTTCAAACCTTATAAAGGCTAACATGGCCTTAAGAAAAACTGTTTGAATGATACTTCTCCCCTGTGATTATAGCCAATTCTGTTGATAGAGAACTTACTTTATGCTACTTCATTAAAACTACTCCTATAAAAAGCTACTGCTATATAAACATACATGGTTTACCACATTTATCCTTTCCCAGTAACTGCAGAGCTGTTATGCAGGTAACAATCATCTCCTTTATGACTTTTTAGTAAACCTTCTCCATCTCTCAAAAGAAGAGCATTTTCTAACTGAGCTCTAAGGTTCTGGTCACACCACATCTTGTAAAATAGGTAGAATTTATGTGAAAATTCAGGATTCTTCTTGCCTTTGGTACAGACTGCCTGATAGGCCTGCTGAAAGTATATATTTTTTTTGTAACTGATTGCCAAAATACTAGTTTTCTGCTAGCACAGGCTCAGCTCTTTTGGCACAGACAGGATCTCTTGACTGTCCTATCTGTGGGCTAGATACTGTTTGCAGAAGCTGGTGTACGTGGCTAATGAATTCTAGCTAATGCTTTTCTGTTTAAAACAAAGGCTCTTCTCTGTTTTCCCTCTGGTCCTGTATCAGTCAAGCCCTTTGGTTCAGCTCAACTAGTTTTCATCAGCTGACTTAAGAGATTTTCTTAACCTCCTTGGTAGCTTCATAGAACCAGGTGATTTCCCTGGCTAGAGCTTTCCTTCCTATGTCAGGCTCTGCTGCCAAGTGAGCCCTGGGCTGCCACTGTGCCTGTGAGACAAAAGGCCCCAGAAGCTCAGGTTGTGCCCAACACTGGAGCTTGCACAGCCAGATGGAAGATGAAGAGTCTCACACAAATGCTGGGCAACCTTGACTTTCAATTACAGAAGTCTGGAGTACCAGTGCTAGCAAATTAAGCATTGTCTGAGAAGCACAGCTCAAAGGCATTTCTGTCCTCAAATATGTGTGGCCAGCTCCTCTCTGTGGGACTCAGCTGTCATCCAGAGCCAATGCAGCTTTTGTCTCTCCAAATTCTTCAGTTTCTGCAGATTCTGGAAGTACTGAGAGTCACTGAACGTCTATTGGTCCACTAAATCGGGGGGAGGAGGGATAAGATCCCGCGGGTTCAGCCGAGCAACGAGGCAGACGTCGTAGCTGTCATGCATGAGAACATTGATGGCCACCACATTCCACTGGTTCTCCCACGTATCCAGCTCGAGGATCTCTTTGGTGATAACTTCATGACGAGCTGTAATGAGAAGCAACAACAGCAGGCATCAGGAGTCAATTCAAACAGGATCAGAGAGGTTTGTGCAGTTATTATTATGACCCCCCTGTAAGGTGGCAATGAAAAGATTATTTTTATGGTACAAACAGCTTCACTGTTTGAAGAGGATGTGAGTTGTCAACAGATAGCAAACAAAATAGTGCAGATGGACATCTGCACAGTGTATTCAGATCTCACACTCTGGGCTCCAGGTGCAGCCTCAGGGACAAAAGCATGAAGTGTTCCATCTTGGCACAAGTGTGCAGGTGGCATTTCATGGTGCAATCAGTTGTCAGATGCTCATCTTTTAGAGAGAGGGGGGATCACCCATTGTTAATGTGTATGCCTACATGCAGTAGGTTGTCTTTTCTTTTCCCCAGCTAAAACACAGCTCACAGGCTCCTGAAGGCACCCCAATCCTATGGCTTTTCTTGGGTGGGAAGTATGAACATCCTGGGATTTGGGGAGAAATAAAGACAGGAAGAAACCTCCGAGGCTTAAAAAGTGCTTCAGCTGTTCTGAAGCGTTGAGGAATTTGTCATGAACAGTCAGGTTAGAAGAATGTCATTAAATCCAATCTCAAGACAAGAAGCTTTCTACTGAGACAAAAAAAACCCCAAGGAAAGAATGGGCTTCATCTGCAGCTGAGAACCATAGTTGTCAACCAGCAGTGCTAAACTTCTTACATGAACACAAAACATTTCTTTGCTAACAAAAGTCCTGAAATCTCCAGCAATTGTTACTCAAAGCCAAGTGTTGTTTTTTTTTTAAATAAAGTATCTTTTATTTCTGCTCACTCTTTCTTTTCATTGTAAAGCTGATTTCTCACAGCTCGTAACCTTCATCTACACTTTTCTTGCTTTGAGCTGAGGATGCACATGCTTTGCTTCAGCTTCATTCTGGTGAATTTCTGGATAAATGTATCAGAAGCCAAGTCTTTGGAGATTGCCAAGCACAGACGCTTCACAGGTACTAGGATAAGAGCCATCATAGCAAGCAACATTGAATGCTCAACATTTACTGAGCCTTAAAAGACTGGTGACTGGCTAAACTTTCCAGGGTGCAGACTGAGGATTCCATTCAGCTATCCTTCCTAGGAAGTTAAAAAACAAACAAACAAACAAAACCCCACCCCAAACCCAACCAACCAACAAAACCCACCAAAACCAAACAACAGCAACAAAAAAAATAAACAAAAAACCCCAACACCAACCAAACAAAACAACATCAAACAACTCTGTCCTTCACATTTGTTTTCTGCATCTCATTCTTTGGACTCTGCCCTTCTATGGAATCCACTGTCATGGACTGGAGAATGGGAAAAGAGCAGAAAACAGAAGAGCACCCAGACAAATACATGGTTTCTCATGTTGGAAACACAGACCTCAGATTCCTCCAGTGGACTGCAACCCTGGGGGGTTAACACCTCCAAGATAGTGCTGTTGTGCTTTAGGTTCCATGCAAAATTGGTGTTGAAGTTATGATGTAGTGTCACAGGATTTAAAATACCCCTAGAGCTCCTCTGCAAGTACCTTCAGGATGTGCAGAGATCAGATGGAAACAGTTCTCCTTTCAGAACTGGTTTCCTTGCTGAGCTGGTCTGGGACAGTTCTGCTCACTGCAGATCCTGCACATGCACAGGAATTGTGGATGTCTCAGCTTTATAGAAATTTCTGCACATCTTTGTCACATTTATCTAAGGAAACCACTCACCAACCATCTGTGCTCCCCTCTCACCTGATAAAGGAATGCAGCACAGTGTTTCAACCCCACAGTCCACCCATTTTCCCCTCAGTTCTGTCACAATTAATTGTGCCACATTTTTTTTGTCCAAATCCAGACCTCTAGCTCTTTCATAGACCTCTAGAAACTTGCTTGAATAAAATTTGGGTAACATTTCAGGATTAAGCTTCATCTGAATACTCCTTGTTCCATTACTTTCTGCTGTTCACAGAAAGTGGAACAATAGCTACGGTGGTTTGCTTATTGAACCTGGATCTTAAAGGATAATAATAATAGTAATAATAATAATACACAGGAAAGCTGCACCCATCCAAGAGAGAAGACAGCAAACTGCTAAAAAAAACAGTTACATGTGAAGAGGGGAGACATGACTGACAAGCTGCAAACAAATAACATGTGCCAGTACCAGCAAAGAGCTCATTTCTGTATGACCCTGCAAGACTGAACAGTTTTTTCTTAAGAGGCAAATATGGAGAGACAAACAGACCTAAGCTGTGACATGGGTGGCTCCAGTCCCTGTATTTATTATTAGATCATCTCCTTTATGGAATAAATTTTTAAGCCTGGATTTTCTTTGGCATGGATGATGAGACAGAGGAAAAAAAAAAAAATCAAACACTGGAACTGAGACCTTCTGTGGGTGATTGCAACACTTCAGAAAAAAATTATCATCATTAAAACATCAAAGGCAGATTCAGCAACTCTTCTTTCCAGACCTTGCTGTTTTTTCCTGACCCTGGTGACTCACAACCTTTCGTGTCCCTTGTTTCCCTTTTCTGTGGGGTGTTTTCACTGGTTTTGTTCCACTCTACAAATTCTACTTTCCAGCACATGGAGTGGTAGTTAACTCTTAACCCTTGGGAGATAAAAAGGGAATGTTCTTAGAATAAAGGAAGCAATCATTTATCTACCTTATCTTGTTTCACAGGAAAGGAAACAGCACCCTTTGGATGAGAAAGTTCATGTGAGGAAAAGCACTGCTCAAAATACAGTCATAATTCAGAAATACATAACATTCCCCCCCTTACTTTTTTAAAGAAAAATGAGTTAAAACATCTAAATTCCGGAGACTTTTTTTTTCTTGGTTAGGACAATTAAAAAGGCAATGTTTTTCACAGAGAATAGCACCTATGATTCCAGGCTGTAATGCTGGATTTTTTTAAAAACAGTTTTAAGCCTGAAAGTGCAAATAATTCTAGATACTGCCTCATTGGTTCACCTCCTTATTTATTTAGTTTTTGTGCTTTGGTTTGGATTTTTTTGGGGTTTTGCTTTTTTCTGTTTTTGTTTTTTCTTACAGGAGAATAACGTGACAACTACAAAAAAAAATGGCTGTATTACACATCAATTGACTTAAAAAGCCACCCCACAGAACTCCCTGCCATACACTGCATTATTCTGTACCACTTACCAGACAACCACCTTGCCTAATAAAAGGACTTCACTCCTTCCCAAATGCTTTCATTTTTTCAACAAAGTGAGACAATGTTTTTCTGCACAATCTTGTTTAACTGTCAGAATTTTTAAGAAACTTTCTTTACACTGAGTTTTTCTGCACAGGAGTTAAACCACTTTATATTAGAATTATTCAAGGAAGTTCAAACCTAACCCTAATGCAGATCCCTTTCAAGCAGTAAAAGTGTTTATAGCAACAGGGTTTATACTTATTCAGGAAAGGAAAAGGCTAAGCCAGCACCAGGAACATTAATTCCAGCATAAATTTATCCCCATGAGGAACTGTGGTATGTTAAAAGGAAGTCAGAGCACTTTTGGTATAGATATGCCTTTTTGATGTACAAGTGCAGACTGAAGGCTGACACTGAGCCTTCCAACCCATTTCATACCAGTGAAAGAACTGGAGTTATACTTGAAAATGTTTAATTTATAAATGCTAAAATAATATTCCATATATGCAAATATAGTAGTCTGAAAGCAAAATCAGTCTAATCTTTAAGCTCTCTTTTATAATCCTGGTCTGTAAACAAAAGTCTTTCTCATAATTTTTCAAACACATTTTTTTCTTTGAATGTTCAGAAAAACAACAAAAATATTAATTAGCAGGAAGTGACTCCCTGCACTCCATAACACAATATATTCTCTTTAAGAGGTTTGTTTTCAAATATGATTCACTTCCCAAATATGGCCAGACTTCATTTTGTGCTGCAAGTTTTCTCCTGTCATTTGAATCAGGATTGACCATAAATCAGGATGAATCATTCTTGGAAAGACCCCCAGTATGACTGCAGGCAACATAAATATTTGATTTGCCTTTTTTTTTTTTTTTTTTTTTTTAAACTGCATTCCATTTGTAGTTTGGAGACTGGGAGGAGGAAAAAATTTCCATGTGAATATAGTATTTACTACCACTTCTGGTCTTTTTTTTTGACCCTGCTTTCTCTTTCCTATCTGAAAAAGAACATTAAGATACAATTATTAAGCTTTGGGTTGGGATAGTTGAAGGGAGGCAGATGTAGAAGAATTAAGCAACATGTTTAACAGGTAGAAAATCTATAGGTCATCAAGAACTATTTAACCATGCAACTATTATGTTTGCAAGCCAATACAAACTAACTCTACTATAGCCTCTTTGGTGTCCAGAGCACTGAGCTAAAAAAAAAATCATGCTGAATTTCTGTTCACTGGAATTAAATCTATGGCAAGTTCTCTGAAATGTGGTCAATATTTCTTTGTTATTAAAGCCTGTTGACATCAGCTGCTATATCCATCTTATGAATGAGGAAATAGAGTTATGGAGATAGCAAGAGCAGGGGCCAAATCATGAGTCACGATGCCTCTGCATCAGGGCAGAGATACCCCAAGGAGTTTTGGTGGAGCTCACCTGCCTGTCAGCTGCAGTGCAGCTACACTGACATGCTGGAACACGGCCAGCAACACCTGTGTGAGTTTATCCAGAGCAGGGCCAGGTACCCCAGCACAGAACCACCATGTGTTACAGGGGGTAGTTTCAGTGTCACATCTGTCCCTGCCCATGAGCTCTGTGCCCTGGGACATCATCACATAGACTACTTGTCTGAGCTGCTGCTGGTGTCAGTTCTAGGTTGTCAAAGCACCTTTTCCTTTCCAGTTTCCTAATGTGCTCTATCAGTTTATTTAAAAAAGGACACCAAACCTGCAGTGGTTAAACTGTTGTCTGTCTGCTCTGCTCTTTCAATGGAAAAAAGCACTTGAACACCACAAGGTATTTGCCAGTTCCCCAACAGTCCCCAGAATGTTTACTC